GAAAATTTATTGCACTGAGTTCCCACATCAAGAAAACAGAATGAATACAAATAAATAACCTGATGTTACATCTCAAACATCTAGAAAAGGGACAACTGAAGCCCAAAGCCAAAAAAGAAGGGGGGAAATTATGAAAATCACAACAAAAATCAATGCAATAGAGATTAAGAAAACAATCCAAAGAATCAATGAATCAAGAGTTGGTTCTTTGAAAGAATAAATAAAATTGATAAGCTCCTAGCCAGCCTTATTTAAAAAAGAGAAGAAAAGCTCAAATTCATGCAATAAGAGAGGAAAAAGTTGAAATCACTACAGACTGTAGAAATACAGAAGATCATCAACACCTACTTTGAAACTCTCTACTCTCCTAGGCTTGATAACACAGAAGAAATAGACAGGTTCCTATAAGCATATGCAGTACCAAAGCTAGGTCAAGAAGATGTAAAACTGCTGAACAACCCAATTTATATTAATGAAATTCAAAATATAATTAAATCCTTACCTATACAGAAAAGACCATGCCCAGAAAGATTCACTGAAGAATTCTACAAGAAGTACAAAGAAGACTTAATACCACCACTCCTCAAACTCTTCAATGAAATAAAAAAGGGAAGCAATCCTTCCTAAGTCATTCCTGGAAGCAAATATTACTCTAGTACCAAAACCTGAGAAACACCCAAGTAAAAAAGAGAACTACAGGGCAATCTCCCTAATGAACACAGATACGAAAATCCTCAATAAAATATTGGCAAATAGCATGCAGCAAATCATCAAGAAGATTATACACCATGACCAAGTGGGATTTATCCCAGGCATGCAGGAATAGTTCAACATACATAAATAAATAAATGTAATCTACCATATTAGTAAGGCCAAAAAGAAGAATCACATGATCATCTCTATAGATGAAGAAAAAGCTTTTAATAAGGTCCAGCATTCATTTATGATAAAAATCTTACAGAAAATTGGAATAGATGGTCTTTTCCTCAATATAATAAAGGCTATTTATGACAAACCGTCAGCCAGTATCATACTAAATGACCAAAACTGAAGGCATTTACCTTAAAATTAGGCACAAAACAAGGATGTCCCTTATCACCACTCCTATTTAATATAGTACTGGAAATACTAGCCAGAGCAATTAGACAAGAGGGAGAAATAAAAGGGGTAAAGATAGGAAAAGAAGTTAAATGATCATTATTTTTGGAACACATGATACTCTACATAGAAGACCCCCAAAACTCCATTGAAAGACTCCTAGATATAATAAATAAATTCAGCAATGTAGCTGGATACAAAATAATACTCAAAAATCAATAGCATTTTTATACACTAACAATAAAATCACAGAGAGAGAAATAAGAGAAGTAACACTCTTCACACTAGCAGATAAAAAATGAAATATTTAGAAATTATTCTCATGAAAGTAGTGAAAGATCTATATAGAAAAAATTATAATAAACTGAAAAAAGACATTGAAGAGGATCTCAGAAAATGGAAAGACATCCCTTGCTCATGGATAGGAAGAACAAACATTGTGAAAATGGCCATTCTCCCAAAGCTGCTATACAGATTCAATGCAATCCCAATAAAAATAACATCAACACACCTCATAGAAATCGAGAAATCACTCCTAAAATTCATCTGGAACTAGAAGAGAGCTAGAATAGCAAAGGCAATTCTAAGCAGCAAAGGCAAGGCAGGAGGTATCACAATCCCTGATTTGAAGTTATACTACAAAGCAACTGTAGTAAAATCAACATGGTACTGGAATCAAAACAGAGCTGGAGGCCAATGGAATAGATTAGAAGATACAACCACAACTACAAACACACTCAACTACATTATCTTTCATAAAGGGACCAAACATGTTCACTGGAAGAACGACAGTCTCATTAATAAATGGTGTTGGAAAAACTGGCTCTCCATAGCCGAAAACTAAAACTAGACCCATGCCTATCACCATGTACTAAATTAAAATCTAAATGGATCAAAGATCTGAATATTAAAACAGTAACACCAAATCTATTGCAAGACAAATGGGGTAGAAACCTTGAAGACATAGGGGTAGGTAGAGAATTTATGAACGGGAGTCAAACCACATGGGAAATACATACCAGAATCAATAACTGGGATCACCTCTTATTAAAGTTTCTGCATGTCAACAGAAATCTTCAGCATAGTGAAAAGAAAACCCACAAACTGGGAAAAAAGTCTTAGTGAACTGTCCCTCAGACAAAGGACTTCTAAATCATATAAAGAATTTAAAAAATCAGACCCCCAAAATTCAAAGATCCAATCCAGAAATGCGCATCTGAGATGAATACACAGTTCTCAGATGAAGAAATACAAATGGCAAATAAATACATGAAAAAATGTTCATCATCATTACTCATTAGAGAAATGCAAATTAAAACCACACTGAGATTCCATCTCACTCCTGAAAGAATGGCCAGGATCAACAAAACCACCAACAATAAATGCTGGAGAGGCTGTGGGGAAAAAGGAACTCTCCTGCACTGTGTTGTGGAGGTCAGTCTATAGATTTCTCAAAAAGCTGGGATTGGAAGTCCCATTTGTTCCAGCTATTCCATTTCTAGCATATTCCCAGAAGAACTGAAAACATCATACCACAGTGATATATGTGCACCCATGTTTATAGCAGCACAATTCATAATAGCCAGATCTTGGTAACAACCTAAGTGTCCATCAACTGAGGAATGGATAAAAACATTGTGGTATTTTTATACAATGGAGTACTACTCAGCTATAAAGAAGGATCACATTGAGATATTTATAAATAAATGGGCGCAGCTTGAGATCATACTGATAAGTGAAATAAATGAAACTCACATGTATAAATACCGAATAGTTTCCCTAGTGTAAGAAATGGTAAGAGTACATAAAAGTATGTGGTAATCATGATTCCTCATTATATTGGTTTGAAGCCTTATAATGCTTTCATTAACTAATTGGGTTAATTTTATTCTGGGGTGTTTGATTTTATTGTCTGTGTTGGTATGATCAGTTATTTTGAAGAAAACAAAAGAATATAATAGCTGGTGCTGATTTAATATCAACTTGTTTTGAAGTCCCATCAAGCTTTTGTTCTTCTGTCTCCATCGGTTTTATCATGTTGTATCTTAAAGGATTTCATTATATGTGATAGTACAAACAAAATTTTTTATAGTCAAGGAGAAAAAAATCATGAATTTCGAATTTGAGCTCCTCACACATATAAAAGGTTCTATAAAATGATGATTTTGAAAGTATATATTAGTTTGTTACTTCCAAGCATTTTAAATTCAGTCTGTTTCTTTTCTTATTCCTATTCAAGTGTTCATTTTCTGAAGCAAGGGAAGAAAGAATAGGGTTTACAGGAAAACACTAGAATTTCATCCTGCCAACCCCAAGTGCTTACATGCATCTGCATCACCCAAACATTTCTGGACTATCTTCCCATGTTTTTTCCTCTCTGACATGTGATTTCCTCAAATCTGTGACTGGTCATTCCACAGAATTTAGGGAACTAGGTAGGCCCAGGTGAGCTGGGCTCCGGACAATGGACATGCACCTGAATCAATAGGCCAGCACCCCTGGGAGCATCCTCAGAACACACACGTCCAGATGGTACTCTAGGATAGGAGTATGGGATGTCTGATCCTCATACTTTCCAATCATCTTTATCAGCAAGTCCACTGAAAGCCACGGTAAGGGAAAGAGAGCACATGGAATTTTCTAAGCATACTCATAACAAGACGGACACGCTACCCTATAACACAGCGGATGCTGTGCATGGTGTCATCTGGGGCAAGGGCATTCCTAAGGCAGCAGCTCTTGTGGACCTTCCTGAGGCCCTGAGCTATGGCAATGGCAGTGGAAAGTGAGAAAGACAGGTGCACACTGGCGGCCTCGAAAGAACCAAGAAGAGGCCATGCCTGGTGAGAGAAATCAGCGACACTGAAACCACCATGTAAGATGGGATGTCCTGAAGAGACTGGGGAAGGGAAGCAGGAGACAAACGCGTATCTGCCTGTGACACCCCAATAAGAAATGAGCACCAAACTCTGGGTGAGGACAGAGAGGCCACACATTAACACGGAACCTAGACCAGGAAGATCTGGGGCCAATCACACGTCTGAGGACCCTGGAGTGTAGGGGTCAAAAGAGCCTGCACAGATAGACGAGCGAGCCGCTGTGGCAACCTGAACAAGTGCGCAGTCAGAGGGAGCTGGAGGTGATTCTCCAGCCTTCCTTGGCTCCCTGCTGGTGTCTTGCCTGGAGTCCCTGATAGTGGATCCTGATCACTAGGGATGCAGTACAGGGATGAAGCAAGAACGTGGTGGCTTGAGTCACAGAAATTCATTGTCACAGTTCTAGAGATCAGAAGTCCAAACTCCAGGTACTGACAGGGCAACATTACCCTCTGCAGGCTCAAAGGATGTGTGGCTCCCACCTCCTCCAGAAATCCTTGGCTTCCCTGGCTTCTGGCTGCCTCTTTCCCATCTTTCTTTATCATCAGTGGCTTTTCCCTGCATGTGTCTCTGTGGCTTCTTGTAAGGATGCAAGTCAACATATTAGGTCTCATTCTGCTCTGGTTGACTTCATTTTAGTTAATCACATTGGCAAAAAATCTACTTACAAATAAGACTGAAATCTGAGGTTGTGGGTAGACATGGATTCGGAGACTACACATTCAAACCTCCATGAGAGGGTTGGTCCAAGGAGTAGCAGATCCAGGCTACACGAGGGGTAATGCTCTAGCCTTCCTTGGGCTCCTTGCTGGCATCTTGCCTGTAGTCCCTAATAGTGAACCCTGCTCAGAAGGTGCCAAGCACAGGCCCATGTAGAGGAACCAGCACAGGGGAGTGGGCAGGGCCAGAGGCCACCATACCCTGAGATTGGGCTTCCAGACCACAGGGGCCCCCTGCAAGACAGAACCTCAGGGGTTTCTCCACAAGTGTCACAAAGGGCTTCCTGGAACCCTGGTCTGTTCTATTTGTCTCTGGACACAGCGTGTCTGCTTTTCCAGCCTCCTCAAGGTGGGCCCTGCCCACTCCCCTGCGAGCAACCTCCAGAGCTCATGGTAAGAAGCAAGCTCTTCATATCTGCTGTCTCTGGGAGATGTGCGCATTTTTCTTGTGAAACACTAACATGAAACACTCCTTTGGCCTTCCGAGAGCTGTTTCCTCAAGGAGCTGCAGGTACCAAAGCTCCCAGAGAAGGAACCAGCTCACAAACCAGTTGCTTTCTCCCCTTCTCTCCTAGTAATGCTCAGACTGCCATTTCATGCTAGGAACGTGCCTGCTGTAAGTCAGCACATTTCCTTAACAGGCAAAAGCAGCACCCCTCTCACCAAGGCTCACAGGCTCCTCTCATCCAGATTGGGGAAGGAAGCCAGCAGGAGGACGAGTCCTTCCTTGACAATGTGTTGAGTCAAATCTGCTTTAGATGCTCCACTTGACTTTTGGGGGTCGCAGCCAGCCAGGCCACAAGCCAAGGAGATGAGCTTCCCTGGCATTCCGCCTCATCTTGTCAAAAGTGAACCTGGATTTGTGTTTTGCGTTGTGTCACTGCAGCGCCTAGACTGACAAGGTTTTGTGGGAAACAAGATGAGAACCGGCTAAGGATGCCCTTTTCCCAGCACTGAGGAGCAAATCCAACCCTTTCGGGCTGACACAATCGGAATTTCTCTTCCAAAATGAACAAGGGGCCCAAAATACCCTTTTTGTTTTCAATATCCTCTTGACACTCATTAACATATTTCTTTAATGTTTTTATTGTTCTTTCTTCAAAGACTGTTCAGTTTAATAGGAACATTTTACAATTGCTGAATGTATAACATTGTTTATAAAAGGAAATTAGAAAGAACTGATGTATACCAATAAAAATGGCATATTAGTAATTTTTTTAATTCTCAAAGAAGAAATAATAACAAAATGATGTCCTTTTTACTGGAGAGGGGAAAAAAGAAGAGAAAGCAAAGTTAGAACAAAGAAAATTTAAATCCTGTAACAGCAAAATATACTAAAATGCGTTTTTTACTTTTAGGGAGGTGAGGAGACAGGGTTTCTGTCTATGAAACCAAATGTTTACAAATATTCAAGCCCATAAATTTGAAGAGAAACTGAATACAGAAAATTCTTGTTAATGCAGTACATTTTCTGGTAATTTTATAGTCCAATTTTCAGTGATTCCCCACAGAACAAATGCAGTTCAAAGGCAATTTTATAAAGTACTTTGCAGATAACTATTATCTGCTAATTATTAGAAATTGCATGTTGTTGTTAATTGCATAAATAAATTGTTTTATCTGAAAGCCATTAAAAAAAGGTTTGGTGTTTGAAGCATATATGGTTTTGATGTTCCTGTATAAAAACGTTTAACTGTTTAACTCTAAAATAATGACATGCTGCTTTTAAGACAATTTCTTAGACTAATGGATTATGGGGAGGGTGATCCTAAACATGAATTTATTTTATTTTTGTGACATACTTGGTTATAAATCTACATGGAAAGAAAAAAGTGCAGATATTTTGCTGTATATTAGGGAGACACTCATATAATGCTATTTTTTAATCATAAGAGTGATTTATAAAAAATAATTTACTTTTTCTAAAGTAGTAGTTATTTTCAAAAAATACAATGTGCTGTTTTATTAATCTATTTCACTCATAATTAGCCATACGACAAATACATTCACAGTGATGGTTGCCCTTCATTTTCTATGAAATAATTCAGAAAGTTTAATAGAGTGTGCTAATTGAATTTGAAAGCAAGGTACATGGGTCATTTCCATGGCTTCCAAATGGCCAGGTGGCAAACATGTCCTTCCCAGGGATTAGCAGCCAGCAACTTGCCATCCAGCAAGGCAGATGCATCTGGGTGCTTATGTGGGTGTAACCAGGAAGTTCCAGAACCACCTGGGAGAGTTGCGGCAGGGCTTTCTACCCACCAGAGGTGACAAGTTAGGGTCCCCAGGGAGCCATGGCTTAGCCTCTGACCTTGCCTGGCCAGCGCTGAGAACAGTTATTTCTTTCAGAACCAAAAATGAAGGAAGAACTCACAGTCCAAGAGCACACTACAGATGCAGGGCAGGGGGAGGTGTTCCCCAGAAGAAGGTGAAATTGATTGGGTAAGTCTGGCTGATACCCAGCAAAACCCTACTACCCTAAGCTTTGAAGTGGATCCACAAACATCTTCAGAGTCTGTCCCCCGACACAGCATGAAGACTGCACACCAAGCCCTTCTCATTCCCCACCAATCCTCGTGACACATGGAAAGAAGCCACCACTCTACAGAGAAGGGGTCACAGCTTTCTGGATGTGACTGCTTGATATACAGCAGGCTATCACCAGTGTTGGTTCTGTCTCAGAACCACACATGACCTTGTGGAAAAAATGGCAATACTCCACATCGTTAAAAATTCAAAGCAAGTGCAGAAGTATTGTCACTCCAGAATGGCAGGGAGGGCAGGGGCTGTTCCTCAGAGGAAGGCCTCCTCTCTCCTTAGCAGAGGAAATCTCCTCTCCTTGTCTGCATAGTATCTTTCCTTGGTGTGCATCTGTGTCCTGACCTCTGCTTACAAGGATAACCGCTCACGCTTGAGTAGGGTCTATGTCAATGACCTTTTTAACTTAATTTCTTCTTTCTAGGACCTCTGAACACAGGCACACTCTAAGGTACTGAGGTTTGGTGGAGGGAGGTAAGCAAATTCAAACCATAACAGCACCCACGAATATCATAGGCAACAAGTGCTCACACTTACCAATATTTACTCACTTTGCAGACGGTGTGTCTGTAAGGCATGGCTTTGAGGTCTCAGCACACAGACAGGAAGACACTGGGATAGATCACCCTGCCCATGCTTAAGAATGCATGGCAGATGTGACATTTTAGAATATGCCTGTATTGGCCTTTCTCCTCTTGAGTCCTGGCCTTCAACAAGGGAAAATATTATCAGGATCATCATCAGCAAAATCCCAGTTAACTGTAGTTCTCCAGCTTTTTAAGAGTCAGTGAACCAATGAAATGAAGAGAGAGGAAAGGTACAAGGCCTGGCTTTGCCGCGTGGGAAGGGAAAGGTCCACTGTCCAAATCTGGGCCAATGGGCAGGTGTTCACACAGGAGGTCTGGGGTGCTTACCTCAGTGGAGTAGCTCTTGGCTCTCACTGAGAGACCTCCACAGGTAACAGAACCCTCACCCTCTTCCCATGCCTGTAGATGTGGGCTTCATGTTGTCCCCAGCATCCTCCCTCCTACCTCATGGCCAGACAGGTAGAAGCTGCAGCAGCTGACACAACTGCTGCTTGGTGCCCTCGTGCAGGATCTCTGGTTTGCATTGTCCGTGTTTCATGGGTGAGATTCTGACTCAGACCTCCCAGCTGTGCTCTGTAAGGAGGGGCAGCTTCCTCCAGCTGCTTTTCCAAGGCAGGGTTGGGTCACTGTCACACACTCTAGCCATGTATCGGGCTCTCTTCTAGACAGAGGCCTCCACAGCTTCCCCTCCTGCCGCTTTCCACATTGCCCACCACTTTTCAGGCTTCCACTGACTCCTCCTGGGACATCAGACCCACAAGGCCCTGCGCTGCGCTCTTTTTATTTCACCCTCGCTATGGACCTCTTCTCTACCGCCCTAGAGTTTTAGCTACAATTTGTGCCAGATAAACTTTTTGAATATCAGCCAGAATTTTCCTTGTACCTTTGACTTTTTCCACCTGCAGGAAAACAAGCCAGTTGGCAATAATTAAAGACACAGGAGAAGAGGAGAGGAGAGGAGAGGAGAGGAGAGGAGAGGAGAGGAGAGGAGAGGAGAGGAGAGGAGAGGAGAAGAGAGGGAAGGGGAGGGGAGGGGAGGGGAGGGGAGGAGAGAAGAAAAAAGGGAAGGGAAGAGAAAGGAAGGGAAGGTAAGAAGAGAAAAGGGAAAATGATTCCTGATTTACAGACTTCTAATGGTGAGGGTGGTGGGCTGGGGAGGTGGGCGTTTGGAGTAAGCAGCCTAGGAGGCCAGATCCTCATTTCTTAGACAGGAAGAAAAAGGCTGAGGACAACCGGAAGTAGAAAAGACAGAAGCAGGAGAGGAGGCGTGGCCTCCCATTTCTACGGCCCTATGTCAGATGAAAGCTGTGAGTGTGCACAAGTCATTGAGGGACAGGAACTAAAAAATGCCTGTTACCAGAAACGAGAAGGCTCTGCAGTCAGCTGGGTGACCAGCCATAGAGAGCAGGAGAAATCTCTGGGTAGTGACTGGGTGACAGAGGAGATGGGACATGGAGCCTCAGTAACAACTGGATCCCCACAGCCACTCTTTGTCCTACTGTATCCTGTCACCTAGGATGCTGGCACAACTGGTTTTTTAGCTAGAAGCCAGGATCTTGATCAGTTCCTGAGGCCAGAAGTCAACACCTATCCCATTCCAGTGTTTTTTAGTCCTTTGATGTTGTCCCTCTAGGAAAAACTACCAACTGGGCTGGGAGCATGGCTCAGAGGGAGAGCGCTTGACTAGCATGTTTAAAGCCCCAGGTCCTATCCTCAGTACTGGAAAAAAATTAGAACAACCACACTGTGTGGGAGGCAAATAAGGAAAAATAAGAAATATATGAAAAATAAGATCATATTCAATGCCCATACACTGACTATGAAACTTTAAGGTTTTACTTTAAGCAAATTTTCTTGGTTCTTGTAATGCTTTTTGTTCGGTTATTTTTTAATTGTTTTTTTTTTTCTTGTTTGTTTGTTTTGGATTCTGAACTTTTTTGGTTATAAAACACAAAACATAAAAGCAATTATCTCTTAGTATACTCTAATTGAAGGTAAATTTCATTAGCAAGACAATGGATTATTTTGCACTAGGGAAAAGACAAGAGTAATGGCTCCCTTCCTGGTAGTGGTCTAACAGGCAGTGTGCAGGAGCCCAGAGCTTCCTGTTGAGATCACAAATTTTGCTAGGTGCCTGCTTTTCTCTTTTTGGGTGAGGCCAGTGTTGCTATTGGAAGTCTGCTGCCCAGAGCATGATGGTGATAGTGGAAGGTTGCTTTTACCATACAATGGATTTTCTCCATAGTCTTTCAAAATCTTTTCAGGCAAATCTAATTCCTCAGCATCTCTGAAGAGACCCTGGACAGTGGGAAATACAAGCCTATGCAATTCAGCAAATTCCTTCTGGCAAACCAGGAGCACCTCAGTGTCTGAACTCAGTCAGCACACAGGTCTCCAAACTCCATGATACACAGCTCCGCCAGGCCATGGGCCACACCAGCTATCAGGTATTTACAACCTAGAGCCAGCTTGGGTAGTGGAAATTTTTATGTGAGGAACATGCATCCACAGAGAGATACAAAATTGAGTACCAGAGGTTAGTTTGAGATTAAAATTCCTCTCCTTCCCCTCTGCACCAATGCACACACAGACCTATGCCAGACACCCATCCTTTGCCCATCTCTGATCTTTCCAGATCTATGCAGCACCAGAGGATACAGAGCCAAGATGAGGTCATTGTCCCTCAGAGATCCCTCGCTCAGGACCCCTGTACCTCTAATAGAAGGATAGCAAATTCTAGCACAGAGCATTGACCCTCCCTTGCATCCTAGAGAAGATCCCCAGTGAATGCCCAAATCACCTCTCAAAATGGTTGATAATGGCTCTCTCTGTGTCCAATCCTAGGCCACAGTGAAACACCACAGTTGTATTTCAATCACTTGCATTCATGGTGATTGGTGTCCATGACACAGTGTGTGGGGAGATCCAAATTTTAATAGCCCATTGACCTTTGATCTTTACTTACAATTTAATCTTCTCAAAGGGCAATTTACCAGATGGCCTTGGTTGGCTTTGCTACTGCTGTTTATCCATGTTTAGTTATAGAGTTCCAGCCTGTCTCTGCCAACAACACAAGATCTTGCTCCTACGTATTTCTCTCTCCACCCTCTTTTCTCCCCTCCTTTGGTTCTGCTAATTCAATGAGTTGTTCCCACTTCCTTTTACTGTACAGCATGATTGTGTCTTGGACAGCTTGGATTTTCCCACTGCTTCTTCTCAGTACTGATCAGCAGCAGGGAAGGGGCAAACCCAGCACTGTAGTCTAAATCCTCTCTTCACGAAGGGCAGTGAGATAATTCAGTGCTTAGGCTGTGAAGACACAGCAGGTCTGTGCACTAAGCCTTCATTGCAGATGGCTCAATTCCATCCCAAGTAGCAGGGACCTGTATTAGAATTTCCTTATAAAATGCTGGAGGGTGCACCAAGAGTCCGGAATTCTGAGACCAGATGCCTACAAATGCTGAGGGCTGTATTTCTTCTTCTACACATGCCTTCCCACGAGGTGACACAAGTACCTGTAAGAATGTGGTAGAACCAACACCTTGAAGATTACAGATATCCACACAGCTATCCATTTTTGAGGAGTTCTCTATTTTCCATACTCATCACTACTTTCTGTACAGGGCTTTATGACCACGCAGGAGCAGAGCCAGCTCCTGTCTGCAGCACTAATGAACTGGGGGTCAGGAGCATCCTGGTCCACCTTTGCCCGAGAGCCTCAGATCCTCACCATCATTAACTGTATGCTAGGACACAGGTACCATGCACAAAGACAAAAGCGTTACTCCTTAGGTCTCTACTGGAGCAGTCAGCGCTAGATAAGCCTGGCCAGCTGCACAGTCAGAGGAAGAACCACAGCCCGGACCCTGCACCAGCTCAGAGAGCTGAGCACTGCCTCCCTTGCTGATGAACAGCAGCCCTTGAAGGAGAAGGAAGAGTAAGCTAGAGGTATGGACACCCCTGTCCTCACACTGTAGACGGTCTGATGATGGAGCAGGAACACAGCCTGACATCACACTGGAACAGAGAGAAAGGAGCTTTGTTCCACCCTGTCCACCCACCCCACTGCAGTACCCGCTTTCAGAGGGTCCCAAAGGAACATGGCTTTCATCCCTCGTTTTCTACAGGGTTGATGATTTCTGAGAGCATGCTCATTTCAGGCATCGGCCAAGTCTACAGTTGCTGGCTTTATGAGATCTGTGGAGATCACATCTCAAGAGGGTAGGTTTGAAGGTGTCAGTCAAATTGATGAAAGAAAGGACAAATTCATTAATTAATTCACTCCTGAATTCTCGCATGCCAACCTTAAACTCAGAGTGGATTTTTATGGTTGAATTATAAATCCCTCACCAGTGGGGTTTCTATAGACAACCTGTCAGAGATTTAAATGCCCCACATCCATGGGTGCTGGGGGGTGTTGTGAAAAGGGCGTTGACTCCCTACCTCTTGGGCAAACTTAGATTTAGATCTTTAGCAAATATTCCAAATGATTATCATTTTAATTACCAGGCTACACAATGCTCCCTCCAGTCCCATATGTCTCCAGATCAACTGGTTTACTTTAATGCTCTGCAGCAAGATGAAGTCAAATCTCAACTGACAGAGTGACAGTGAGTTGTAATTCTATTCAGCAGTGTTTCCTTGGCTAGAAGAATGAGCACTTGGGAAGAATAGGAATTCTGCTGGGCACCACTCAGCACACAGAGGGAAAGGCCATCTTCCCTCAACTTCTCGTCCCAAGCAGTCCCAGATGTCATCAACTGATGTAGATGAAAAGACACCAGAGTCTGGTGTCCATCCACCCCACAGTACATGTCAGCAGTGCCACCAAGGCCTTATTCAAGGCCTGTCAGGAAAACAGAGACTGTGGATGCCACTCACCATGCCGGCGTAGGCTGCCTCCTCGGCCCATGCATAGAAGTATGGCCAGGCTTCTCCTTCCTCCTCAGGATTCATGGCACCCACACATGCCCAGCCCTAGTGCTGCCCGAAGGTCTGTGTGCTTGGAAAGACTCTACTGTTTTGAATGTGTCTCCAAGCTTCAGTGTTGAAAATCTGGTCCTTGGTGTGGTAGAAGGACCTGACACCCATCTGATAGTATTTTGGTCATGGGGGCTCAGTCTTCATACCACATTAATGTCATCTTGGAAAGGGACTGCTGCACTGAAGGGATACAGCACAAAAAAGGCCCCTCCTGGTGCCAGTTCCTTTGTCTCAGATTTCCCAGCATCCAGATTGATGAGAAATTTCTGTTCTTAAATTACTCAGTCTCGGTCATTTTATTATTGCAGCACAAAACAGGCTGCTCATCACTTCTGTTTTCACCTCAGGAGTAGGACACCTTCTGCACTGGGGTTAATGGAAAGTCTTTGTCCTCTGACACACAGAGCCCAAGTGCTGCTCTGCCTGCCTTCCATTGCCCACATCTTCTCCCCCTCCAGGTCCCAGCTCTTTCTGCCCCATCCTGTCACTGACAAACGCAGGACCACCAGTGACAGAGATGTGAGTTAGAAGTTCAACAAAATAGGAACAAGTAACGATAAGACTGTAAGAACCTGGACCAGAAAACTATAAGACTAAGAACCTGTAAGATAACTGGGGCAGTTGTCACTAACTGTCTGGCGAATTCTTGTTTGCTTTTTCCTTGGCTTTATTTAACTATCATCAGCCCTGTTTCAAAAATATTAAATAGAGAGTTCCAGAAGCAATTCATAAGCTTTAAATTGCAATCACATACCACCTAGTTCTATCTTAGCTTGAGCCGTGAATTGTTCCTGTCATGACCTAGATCTGAAGGGTGCCTCCCAAAGTCTCCTGTGTTTGGAAGGTGATCAGATCATGAGGTGCACTAGGATCGGTGGGCTCGTCCATTCATAAGTTAATAACTGAATGTGCTGCTAGGAAGGAGGGTCTAACTGGAGGTGGTCACTAAGGATGTGAACTAAAAAAGTGTTTTCTTATCACCAGCTCCTCCACCAGGCCCTTCCAACCAAGCCAATTCAGTCTTGGAGCCAACCAACTTTGAATTGAACTCATTGGAAACTGTGCACTAAATAAATCTCTCCCTCAACTTGGATGATGGATATTGTCCCAGAAATGAGAAAGTTATTGATGTAATTTCCCTGCCCAGCATATCCACACTGTATACACTACCCTCCCATTCACCTTAGTGTTTTCTTGGTTATCAGATGCCCTGTCATGATATCACAAGACTCATATTCAACTCTGATTTCACTTAACTGTATCCCTGAAGCACAAGAAAAGTGATGCTGAAACAAGGATCTGCCAACCAGAAGCTGGAAAGTGCTTCCTATAAGTGAAAACGTCAAAGGTCTTAGGAAAAAGAGAAAAAATCTTTCTGCCAAGATAGCTAAAATCTGTGAGGGGAATGAGTCTTCTGTCTGTGAGACTGTTCACTGATTTGCTTTCCTAACTTAAACTGCAAAAGGGATGGCCACAGATCATGGCAAGAACTTAGGGCGTATGGAAACGCAGTTCATAGGAGAGGACATAAATAAGGCCCCACGCTATGGGTGGTTTCAGGTATCCTCAGGGTGGTGGGATGAATCCCCACAGAGAAGAGGGACACTGCAATGTAGTTTTGCCATCCTGACTCTCTATGGTATTGAGGTGGGAACAATCTTGCCCTCTGTGTTTGGACAATTGATTGATTGGGGTTCCTGCAAAATACTGGAGAGGTCAGTCTCCACTGCTTTCACTAACTAGCATCCTTTCTGCCTGGAGAAAATATTCCAAATCTTTTACTACCCAAAATCTCAGAACTGTATGTACGTGGAAAGTTTTACAAAGATCCTACAGGCAGTGCTTTTATCAGGAGCACATGCAATCATTTTTCTAGTGAAGACACTTTCTCACTGTGAGTTTCACTAAGGAATTCCTTGGAATCCCATGTAGTGCACCTTCAGTTTGGCAAGTTGATAGCTCATCTATATCAGGCATTTACTGAACTTCTGGTATGATGCAGAGGAATTCATGTGTTTTTCCCATGTCGTCCTCATTGTGAAGGTTTTAAAAATGTACTCACTCTACAGGTGAAGAAATTAAAATGCAGAAATCTTCAACAATCTTTTCAAAGCACAAAAACTGAGGACAGGGCTTGCTCTGACCCCTAATACTTTGATAAACAGCTGCTATACTTAGTAATAGATTGTACTTAGGAAGGACTTATTAACAACCTTTGCTAGGCCTATATATAGTACAGCAAGTCAATCTGTTACTAAAAATTATCAAAAAGTGAGTTGCATATGGAGCAAGACAAGTTTGGCAGAAGGAACAGAAAATGTTGCAAACATCTGCTAGGAAAGGCAAGTGGAACTTACAGAAGATTCGAGGACACAGAAGAACTCTTGCCAGCTGAGTAATAGTCCCTAAAGTACCAGGTTTCTGTTCTGAAACTTGTCCCTGCAGCATTACACAGGAGAAGGCCTTTGCAGATAAGACTAAGTTAAGGGTTTTGGGATGGCGAGATGGCTAAGGACCACCAATAAGCTCTGCAAGAGTCTGCTATGTGAGTGAGGGGAGAGTGCTGTGCAGAGAACAAGGTCTGCCAACAGGCACAGGAAACCAACAGCACAAGGAAAGGATTGTTTTCTAGGGCTTCCAGGAAGAGTGTGACCTGGTGCCTTGGCAGGTAAGTTTGGGTCATGCTGAGCTAGCGTTCTAGTGTTCTTCTGGCACTAATCCAGTGACACTAACCCATCCAGCAGTCTGGAGGGAAGACCAGACACAGGAACATGTGGTGGCAAACTCTAGCAAGCGGACTGTGCTATGAGTGGCCTCCAAAGGGGAGCCACAGATGTGCTGGTTACGTTTGTAAGTTCTAGAGAAGTGTTAGGAGACCAGAATCTATAAACTGAATGTTCACATGCAATCTTATCCCTGTCTGGGGGCTTCAGGTTTCCATCCATTCTTGTTGGGTAGTGGTGGCTGCCCCTATCTCCTATACCATGGGGGATGCCCAAATGACCCTTCTCCTTGGGGTCCCCTGAGACACACACACTGATTTCAGTTGGAAAAGCCCAGAACTTCTCACCCCACTTGTATATAGGTGGTGCTCTGGTGTCAATTTTAAAGGCTTCAAGGTAAGCCTGAGGACTTCTGACTCAGGAAGGCCTCACATTGGGAATGACTGGACCTAGTCCCAGTGCTCCAGACTCAGGACATTGTCATTCCAAATATCCAAGCGCCCACATCTTAGGTGCACTTCTCAGCAGTCTCCTGTCTGCTACCTGAGTTGGTTAACTTCCTGTGGTGAAAAAATATCAGTAATAAACAGATTTTTAAAAGACAAGAGTTATTTTGGCTCTTGGCTTTAGAAGTTTCAGTCCATGGTCAGGGAACTCCACTACATTTAGGCCTGTGGTGAGACAGAGCCTTGTGGTAGGGAGCTTGTGCTGGAGCAAAGCTGCTCCTTTCTGGAAGTCAGGAAACAGAGTGAGGGAAATGAACTGGAGACAAAACCTTTCAGGGGTCCCTAGTGACTTCCTCCGGTAAGAACCCCAACCTGAAGCGGACACTATCCCCCACAGCCTGCTAAGGTATGAGGCCACCAGTGGATTTGCCTAACCAGGAGGTCACCTTGTGATCTGATGACTCCTAAAGTTCTCATCGTTGAACACTGCCACTTAGGAGACAGACTTCCATGCACAGTTATGGGGTACATTTGGATCCAGACCCTAACACTTCACTCTGTGGACACTCCCTCCCCATCTCGTCAAAGTTTAGTGCCTTCTCAGGAAGCAAAGCAAGGAAAGTGCTCTTACTCAGAAATTCCTAGAGAGGAAAGGCAGAAGGCTTCCAATGTGTTTTGTCTCTGTCTCGTGATTGTGGCTCAGATTTGCCAGGAAACACATGCACATAATCTGTGGGAATTGGAGCCCTAGTTAAACATCCAAGTGAAACCTGGGCTCCAGTCAAGGAGAAGTCAGCACAATGTCAATAAGGGCCAAACATCCTAAAATTTGAACAGAGATCCCAAGCCCTTCCTACAGCCTTACCTGGCTTGCTGGAGTATGATCTCCATGGCAGGCCCTGGGAGCCCCAGGATGCCTGTGTGTTGAGCACCTCCTCCCCACCAGGGCCAGACCCCAGCACGGGCAGAAGAGCCATCACCCTGGTCCTCCTGCCCAGGGAGCTCTGTGAGAGTGCCTATGACACCCTGAGAAGGCTCCAAAGCAGGCCCGGATAAATACGAAAAGTCAGCTTTAAACAAAGTTCTAGAGGAACAGGAAGAAATGTATAATGAGTTTTTTCATCCTGCTGGCCTTGATTTAAGCACAGGCCCCATACCACCATGGCCGCCACAGTGAGCATTTGATAGCTATGAAGCAGGTAAGCACATTCTGCATCTGCTTACTAACCTCAGTTGTTACTGTTAGCTCCCTCTGCTTTGATCTGGGCTGCTTTCTGTTTTCCACAGTTCTGATGCTTTCACGGATGCTGACTCTGCCAACACCACCTCTGGGCCCAATTCCCTGCTCCTCTGAAGCTCAAGTCTCCCACTGACTTCACAGTCCATCAGAGGCCCTCACGAGTGTGAAGCTTCTCTAACAGGGAGGTTTCTCACCGGAGCAGACCTGTGGCTCCAGACAGTCCGTCAATGGAGCTCTCCAAGAGCTATGATGAAACCTCTTCAC